CGTTGGCATTCTCTATTCGGAATAAAAAAAAACCGATGTGTATGTGCGGAAAATGGTTGAAGGCTTTGTGGGGACACAAGGAACCTCTTCCCGTCATTGTCAAACGGAGAAAAATGGCGTGTTTTGGACACATTACAAGACAACCTGTGCAAGACCATCATGCAAGGCAGCGTTAAAGGTGGACGTGGGACCGGACGCCAACGCAGAAAATGTTTGGACAATGTCAAAAAATGGGCAGGTATCACTGTACTGTTGTCGTTGACAGACCGAGTTAGTGTGGCTTCTGCATTCGGATCCGACCTACGGTTACAGAAATCAAGCTGATGACGATGCTAAAATTAAAGGAAGAACCTTCAATCTTATTAGTTCTGACCCAGCATTTCGGCTTCAGTCCTTTTCGTACCACCGTAATGTAGCTTTCCTGTGCCTTTTTATAAACGTTCTGATGTACTTCCCGCTATGGTACCTAGAATTTATAAGCGGAGTACTAGATTGGCGGCAAGGTCTCCTCATTTTCCATTTGAAATGGTTAGATATAACGGTAAATTCTATGCTTAGTGAGAAAAAAGCCATATTTCTGAGGACTGTTGATTAAGAGCATGTCCATTTACAATTGTTATTTAACGACTAAAAGAGGCCTAGATTAATGGCATTTCAAGACATTTCACTATCTTTCTCAAAGAAAATCTTTCTCAAGAAATTCACAGGTGATAAATAAGAGTAATTTTGGAGAGTCATGATTATTGATGTTCTAAGAGGAATATGGCATTCAATCGAAGCGTAGCATGGCTTCATAAGAACTTATTCCAGCATGCACGATGATAACCTAACTCTGTACCAAATGTCAACCTTTTGATCACCTGCGCTAATGGTGATCGTTGTTTAAGCAGAAAATGTTGGAAGATGCAAAGAAGAAAAAAATCTCGTGCAAGCCACAGTTTTGCCTAGTGTAAATCACTGTCTAATTTTATAACTTGCTTTAACATGCCAAACATTTTTAAAGTGTGTACGCATTTTCAGGTGTCGACAGGTACAGATATTACATTTGTGTGTGTGTTTGTGTGTGTGTGTGTGTGTGTGTGAGTTTATGTGTGTTTGTGTGTGTGTTTGTGTGTTTGTGTGTGTGTGTGTGTGTGTGTGTGAGTTTATGTGTGTATGTGTGTGAGTTTATGTGTGTTTGTGTTTGTGTGTGTGTGTGTGAGTTTATGTGTGTTTGTGTTTGTGTGTGTGTGTGTGTTTGTGTGTTGTTTGTGTTGGTGTGTTTGTTTGTGTGTGTTTGTGTTTGTGCGTGTGTTTGTGCGTGTGTGTGTTTGTGCTTGTGTGTGTGTGTTTGTGTGTGTGTGTTTGTGTGTTTGTGAGTGTGTGTTTGTGTTTGTGTATGTGTGTTGTGTGTGTGTTTGTGTGTGTGTTTGTGTGTGCGTGTTTGTGTTGTGCTTGTGTGTGTGTTTGTGCTTGTGTGTGTTTGTGTGCGTGTTTGTGTGTGTTTGTGTGTGTGTTTGTGCTTGTGTGTGTGTTTGTGCTTGTGTATGTGTTTGTGTGTGTTTGTGTGTGTGTGTCTCTGCGTGTGTTTGTGTTTGTGTGTGTGTGTGTTTGTGTGTGTGTGTGTTTGTGTGTGTGTGTGTGCGTGTTTTACGACAGCGAAAGCTGACATCTAATCAGAATATACGCGGACGCTTGGTTTATTTCTTATCATCTCGGAGTCAAGTGTCGATAATATTTCCCCATTTGTTGCTCTCGCCGCGGGCCTAAAACATCAAAAGGTTTTATTCGAATCCTTTTCCTTTTTTTTTTGCTCCCTATTTTGCTTTTCCTTTTGCGTCACTTTAAAACAATACGATTTTCTCTCTTTTCATTTGCCACCATTCCTAGCCGAAAATATAAAACAGATAATTAGAGGAATTCTTTATTTGTCTTATTCTTTCAATTCCGACTTTCCACTTTTTAAACTCAGAGAATACCAGGAAGGATGATGATGATGATGATATTATTATTATTATTATACATAACCCTTCCTCTCTGGGATCGGGTTGAGATCATTGTTATGGGATCTTACCCATAATAATAATAATGGACTATTCCATACTTAATAAATACTGCGTCTCAGGAGTAGGAAGGGAGCCAGTCGCTCACTTTCTGAGCGACTGTTCGGTTTAACTCTCTTCCTACGGGCGGGAGGAACCCGAAGGAGGCTACGCCGAAGGGCGGAGTCTCCTTCGGGGAGGTAAATCGGCCCAGAACCCCGTTTATACGGGTTCAAATGGGCTATTTTTTGGCCGAGCCTAATGGCTCAAGAATTCCCACGTTAAAAAGGCCTTGTGCCACATGACACCCTCGTGGGGGTGACTGAATATTGCCAGTCGCTCACTTTCTGAGCGACTGTTCGGTTCAACTCTCTTCCTACGGGCGGGAGGAACCCGAAGGAGGCTACGCCGAAGGGCGGAGTCTCCTTCGGGGAGGTAAATTGGCCCAGAACCCGTTTATACGGGTTCAAATGGGCTATTTTTGGCCGAGCCTAATGGCTCAGGAATTCCCACGTTAAAAGGCCTTGTGCCACATGACACCCTCGTGGGGGGTGACTGAATATTGCCAGTCGCTCACTTTCTGAGCGACTGTTCGGTTTAACTCTCTTCCCCTACGGGCGAGGGAACCTGAAGGAACCTGAAGGGGAGGCTACGCCGAAGGGCGGAACCCGTTTCCTTCGGGAGGCCTAATGGCTCGCCCACAGAACACGTTTATACGGGTTCAAATGGGCTGCATGGTTTTTTGGCCGGGAGGAACCTAATGGCTCCTTCGGGGAATGCCCACCCGTTAAAAATGGGCTTTTGCCGACCCTAATGGCTCCGGGACCCACCCTCGTGGTGGGGGGTGATTGAATATCGCCAGTCGCTCATTTTCTGAGCGACTGTTCGGTTCAACTCTCTTCCTACGGGCGGGAGGAACCCGAAGGAGGCTACGCCGAAGGGCGGAGTCTCCTTCGGGGAGTTAAAATTTCAGCCCAGAACCCGTTTATACGGGTTCAAATGGGCTATTTTTTGGCCGAGCCTAATGGCTCGGGAATGCCCACGTTAAAAAGGCCTTGTGCCACATGACACCCTCGTGGGGGGTGACTGAATATTGCCAGTCGTTCACTTTCTGAGCGACTGTTCGGTTCAACTCTCTTCCTACGGGCGGGAGGAACCCGAAGGAGGCTACGCCGAAGGGCGCAGTCTCCTTCGGGAGGTAAAACCGGCCCTGAACCCGTTTATACGGGTTCGAATGGGCTTCTATTTTTTTTAGCCGGGCCTAATGGCCCGGAAATGCCCCACGTTAAAAAGGCCTTGTTCGTGGGGGGATTGAATATTGCCGAGTTCCTTTTGAACCGACTGGCTCTCTTCCTAATGCCCGAAGCGCTAAAAGGGTGGAGTCTCCTTCGGGGAGGTAAAACCCCAGAACCCGTTTATACGACGCCCTCGTGGGGACGACAACCTCTTCCTACGGGCGGGGGGGAAGGCTACGCCGATAGCCAGTCGCTCAATTTCTGAGCGACTGTTCGGTTCAACTTTCCTTGTGCCACATGGACAATATTGAGCGACTGTTCACCCGAGAGGAACCCGACCCCCCCACGGGCTCGGTTAAACCCACAATAAATAACCGACCTTGTGTCACATGTTGCCCCAGTGGGAGGGGAGATTGAATATTGTCAGTCTCTCAAGTCCTGAGTGACTGTTCGGTTGAACTCTCTGCCTTCGGGCGGAGAGGAACCCAAACGAGCCTATGTCGAGGGGCGGAGTCTCGTTCGGGGAGGTAAACCGGCCCTGCGCCCGTTTATACGGGTTCAATGGGCATATTTTGGGGCCGAGCCCACGGGCTCGGAGAACCCACACTAAATAACCGACCTTGTGTCACATGTTGCCCCAGTGGTGGTGGTGGGGGGACTGAATATCGTCAGTCGTTCAAGTCTTGACCGGCTGATCGGTTGAACTCTCACCTTCGGGCGGTGAGGAACCCGAACGAGGCTACGCCGAAGGGCGGACTCTCTTTCGGGGAGGTAAACCGACCCTGAACCCGTTTTATACGGGTTCAATGGCATATTTTTTGGCCGAGCCCACGTTAAAAAGGCCTTGTGCCACATGACGCCCTCGTGTGGGGGGTGACTGAATATCGTCAGTAGTTCAAGTCGAGTCAAGAGTCGAGTCAGAGGCAGTCCGAAACAGAGTCGCGTTCGGACAATTGCTGCAAGACATTGAAATAGTGATCCTGGTCGAGACTACATTGTTCTCTCTACTAAACCTGATTGTTCATACTAACACTTCTACTTCTCTGTATATATTCCTGTTTGTAATATATCTGTGTTATTCCATACCTGTGTTCGAGTTCTTTATTGGTTCTACCTTGGACTATCACCGTGGTACAAGGAACCGGACCATAACAATCATAGACAAAGAACATCTTTGGAAAATTCGTAAACTTAAGGAATCAGCACATATGCTAGGCCACAAAAATCTCCTGAGCCGACCAAGCATAGAAATGAATACAATATGGGAACCAGTAATTGCCAGAGAAAAGCGATAATAACAACAAAAATTGCAATATGAGCTCTGGTAAAACATGATATGATAACAGCGAAAATTGCAATATGAGCACTGGTAAAAATGATTGCTGAAGGCATTAGGTTTATAATACCCAGAAATTCATGCACAGATATCCTCAAGGACACATGGCACAGTGGATAAATGTGTTGGTTAGATCCAGTGACAGGACCCAAAGAGTATGAGTTCAATACGGTCTTCTTCATCTTCTAATGGCTTTGCATGCATTATTTTCCATACTCCACGAAGCAACAAAAGCTTTATAAAAATACCTTTCTCTCTGCTCTTTTTTCATTTTAATCTGCATACTTTTTTCTAACGCTCTTCTCTTTCTTGTTCTCTGAGTTCCTCGTCAGATGTGAAGATTCTACCCTTAGTCTACGGTCATTCGAAATGATTATTATTTCTAGTTTTTCCGCTGTTCGGTTCTCAATGTCTAATTGTGGAAATTGTCTTCTCAACGACATCTTCCCATGTCTTTTCATTGAAGGCCCCACAAGCCAACCGTATAAATCCCAGAAGAAACGAAAAACAAATCATCCAGTCGCAAATGGCTACGAGCCGAATTTTCCAAACTGGTCGAGTGACGGATCTAATTTTATAGAAACTGCAAACAGCATCCGTAAACATCTTAAATTCGCTGAAAGTATTTCCTTATTCGAATTTACTTGATGACCTTTTTTCGAATGACAAGTTAGACAGCCGAGTCTTGTTTAAAAAAAAAACCCTTCGGATATTTTTTTGTTCTCTATATATATATATATATATATATATATATATATATTTCTCTCGCATTGAATGCAATTTACGTTTGTTCGCAGGTGTTTTCACCGATCTCTCATCTTTGTTTTGAATTCAATATACCTGACTATGTTGTCTGCCCTCTGGGATTAAAACAAAAATGGAATTTCTTTCATTTGGTATGTAAAGGCTAGTATTTCGAAATCGTATTGTTTTTATTCTTAACAAGCCACCTGTTATAATTTTGCTGTAATTTAATAGCTAAGCAAAAGGCCCAGTTACATTACTGGTTTGGAAAAATCTACGCCTACGTATGTCTGTCCACCGTGAAAAACATTCTAAGTTAAAACCTGTAAATATCTTTATTCCCCTTTCTGTATATGTCTGTCTACCAAACCACGTTTCATTATATATATATATTATATATATATATATATATATATATATATATATATATATATATAACAATGAATTGTTCATACAAAAAGTAGATTCGTAAAGTTAATAATATAAAATGGAGAAATCCCTTCGCAAATAAAATTTTAATATGCATTAACCTACGATTCACTCGATGAATGTTATGATCCCTGTTTTTTAAAATTATAAGGTGTATAATGTATTTCTTTAATACGTAAGTACTTTCAACTGTACATTCAGTCATCTTCAGGTTGGAAATTATTTTGATATATATATATGTAAATTATTTCATATATATATATATAATGACATGATATTTTCTTTTCGTCAAGTTGCAGAGAAGGTTCGCGAGAAGAAACAGGAGTTATACATGGTGTTTGTGGACTTGACGAAGGCCTTTGTCACTGTGAATCGAGAGGCTCTTTGACAAGTATTGAGGAAACTCAGCATCCCTGAAAACATACTAAAGGTCACCATCTCCTTTCATGAAGGAATGAAAGCTAATATCGTGTCTGATGGTATGATGTCGGAATCCTTTAATATCACAAATGGCACCAAGCAAGATTGTGTCATGGCCCCCGTCCTTTTTGCCTTTTTTTCTCGGTGATGCTGAAATATGCATTTGCAGACACAGAAAGTGGCGTCAAGTTTCAGTTTCGAACAACTGGTGGTCTCTTCAATCATCAGCGCTTCAAAGCCAATACCCCCCTTCGTACGCAAATTATTCGTGATTTGTTGTTTGCTGATGATGCGGCTCTTGTAGCGACATCCTTTGAGGAGGCCCAACATCTAATAAATCGTTTCTCTGCTGCATGTAAAGCATTTGGTCTTACACTTACATAAAGAAAACTGAAGTTGTGAACCAACCTTGTCCTACTCCGAAGCAAGTGCGTGGTGAGAAATAAAAACGACCAGTCTACAAATTTCCAGAGACACCATTGAAAGTAGAAGACAAACCCCTGAACTATGTAAAGTCTTTCACCTATCTTGGTAGCAAAGTCAATTACAGTGGAACTTTAGATGATGAAATCATGCATTGATTGCTAAGGCTACCAGTGCTTTCAGCAAACTTCGCCATCGCTTGTGGAATGAGCGGGGTATTCGACTGGATACGAAAATTCGGGTTTACAGAGCTGCTGTATTTGCCATCCTTTTGTATGGCTCAGGGTCGTGGACTCTATACAGGTACCATATACGCCAGCTAGATGTTTTCCATAAAAACTGCAATTCAAGATAGGACATCTAACGTAGACCTGTTTAACAGATGTAATATTGGAGGAATCGAGACTTTTATCATACAGTCTCAGTTACGGTGGACTGGTCATGTCTTGAGAATGTCTGATGACAGGATACCCAAGATCCTAATGTACATCCAGTTAGATCAGGGCTACAGGAATGTAGGGCGCCCATGGCTAAGATACAAAGACAAGCTGAAAAGCAACTTGTCAGCAGTCGATATAACATATAACACCCTTGAGCGCTTAGCCTTGGAGCGGGTAGAATGGAGATCAACGTGTTTTAGTGGACTCAGCAATTTTCAAGCTGCTTGTCTGAATCATCTTCGAGAGCAAGATCTAAAAGATCAGCCAATCTACCAGTGAACTCATCTCACACTTGCTCCATATGTGGCCTCTTAAGAGTATCGCACAAAATTTAATAACTGAATCAATAAGCTGTCAGATCCTCATACGTCGGAGAGTCCATTATATATATATATATTATTATTGTTTTAAAAATTGAAATTAAACTTTAAGACTTGAGTCAATTTCGAAACATAGTAACATAGTAATTTCTGTGTCGCAATGGAATCATATAATTTTTTTTAACAAATATTATAATTTTAAGCCTTACTTCCCTATCAATCACTATTTTAATTTTAAATCAAAACATAAATACTAAAGAACCTTGGATCATTAATCTAACTGTTCTTTCCTATTGCATCAATATACACACACACGCGCATACCCCCCATATATATATATATATATATATATATATATATATATATATATATATATATATATATATAACACGATGGAGTAATGGAAACTTTCTAAGCGGAGTTTAGATGTGGTACAAAACGCGTCCCCAAAATTATAAAAATATGAAAACTAATCACTAACCACTGCTTCTTCTCTTTCAACTATATTCTCTCCAGGCAAAAATTCGGTTTAACTATGGGGTCACCTCTCAGTGATGTTCTCGCTTACCTTTTTCTGGAATTCTTAGAATCTGGTCCATTTAAACACATCATACAAAACAGCTCTGCTTACCCAAGATATATTGATGACGTCAACTTATTATGTCCTCACGATACAAACGTATTAGACATAATAATCTAACTCAATAAGAGTGAACCTACCATTGAATTCACACAGTATTCACAAAGTATATCGTAAAAAAATAGAAGAAGAAAATCGTTCTAATCAACTTCTATTCTCACCATAATCAAAAAAATAAAATCTGGACTAATCATAGGATTCTACATCAGAGTCCTTAGAATATGTAGCCCGGGATGCTTAAATGAAGCAGTGAAATATATTGAGAAAACATTCAAACTTCTCCATTATCCACATCGTTTTATCCTCAACACTAAAAAAGAGCTTACAAAATCCACAAAGCCAAAAAAACAGACACCAACAATAACACTTCTAAAAAAACAGACACCACCAATAACACTTTTAAAAAACATTACACAAGATTTATAATCCTGCCCTTCTATACTCTTTCCACTGAACTCGCAAATAAATTAGTCATTCCTAATACAATCAACTCCAAGACAATCGGAGATATAATGAGGAAGAAAAATAATCCCAACACCGATTCAAGTGCCGGGATTTTTTAAATAAATTGTTTACAATGCAAAAATGTTTATATGGGTGAGACATCACGTTATATAAGAACCTGCATCTACGAACATAAGTGAGACTTGCGTTTGGAAAATTCATCTAACTCTCTCATTTTGCATCCAAACGATGCTGATTGATTTCCTTAATGCCAATGTAATTAAAAAAGATCATACTTCTTTAAGGAGAAAATATATTGAAAACTTAATGACATTACTTCTATGAACATACGAATTAAAACATTACATGACATCGCCACCTTTCTTAGAATACATTTCTAAAGAATCTAACTTATCTCTATTACAAAGAGGCAAACCATAAATTAGAACCTTGTGGCTCCCCTCTGGGCACAAAAGTGAAGATAAAAAAAACAGTAGACAGACACACGTACACAATTACAAATACATTTTACCATCCGATGCCCACTTAGACATACAAGAATCTTCAAAAACCTACATGCATATAGAATTATCCATGTTTTGTATACACGTGACACGTGTCTGACCAATGAGAACTAACCTAAACATAATTGAAAATACCAGCATATCTGTTTTCTCTCAATTTCTGATGAAGCTTTAATAATAATCAAGCATTTTCGATTGAATTACATTTCCTGCTTGTTCTTTATTTTAACATCCTGTCGGATTCCGATCCATTTTTGATCTGCATTTGATCTTTAACTCAAATATATATTTCGTGAAATTAATGTAAATGGTAGATAGGTTTTATGTGTGCATGTTTGAGTGTGTGTGAGAGTACATTTATTTGTAAAGGCGTGAACTTCCATAAGTTTTTTTCTAATCTCGTTTGATTAAGAGTATAAGGTTAGACTTAAATATTTTCATATAGTAGTATGAATAATGAATGTATTTGTTTTAGAAAAAGTAATATAAGTGGTAAGGTTTAGTCATCGAATTAGTATTTAAAACATTGGATTAAACTATGCAAGAACAAGTCCAGCTTATCGCTTTACGAATTCCAGTGAAATAGCACGTATCAAAACCGCATGAAGCAAAAAGACAAGACTATATAGGAAGGAAGCGGGAAAAGCCTTTATTTCATTCGCTGATGTTGACTGACGTATGTCAATAAGAACGGTCGGACTCCCAGCCATATCTGAATTTTTTTCGCAATGTCGAGTTGCGTAGCACGACGCTATCAAGCAGGCTGTCTGACCTTTTTGGAATCAGGTCGGGGTTGCTGTTTGAGCCGATATGATGTAAAACCCGAAATCGGCAATGTAGAAGACCATCATAGAAGACCATCCTTGATGCACCTGAAATGTATGATTCTATTATATATATATTTGAGTCTCGGATTCGTATCTCAATATGCTCACATTGTCCATTGCATATATTTCTTAATAATGGTAACTTTATCAAATAATATATGCTAGTTGTATCCATGGAGTTTTTATAACACTAATTTGTAGATTAAATTATGAATCTATGTACTTTTTTCTCACAATCAATATTGACATCAGTACAAACACAAAAGAGGACTCGAGCCGCGTGCCTACATTCCTGTCAATCTAGTCACATCACGTTTGTTCTACGACAGTTTGATCTCAATAGGTTATTTAATACCCACAAGTGTTTTAGGATAGGTCTGTATGAATAGAATATGTATTCTTTGTAAGAAATCAGTTTGTAGATCAATTTTCATTGACTTATTTTTGTAAAGAGATTTTTTGTCGATAGTCAAATATATTGCTGGTAATTTTTTTAAAACATTTATAATTGTTAATATTTAAAAAAAATGTATTGCTAGTATTTTTGCTATAAAATCTATTTCTATATTTTCATAGTGTTTTGACACCATTTTTTGCGGGGGGGCCAATTATCCTAAATAGGTGCTACCACTCCAGGTCAGGGTAGACATGGGAACAACAGCAATTAAGAGCTGGTTCCACTTACCTCAAAACCTCCAATCTCTCAAACAGAGGTCTTGCTGCCGGATGTAGTTTATTATCATACCCAGGACTCTCTCTCTCTCTCTCTCTCTCTCTCTCTCTCTTTCTCTGTGTCTGTCTCTTACCCCTTAAAAAATAGGTTATGTATTTTCCCCAAACTGAACACACCATTGCTTTATTTTACGACATATTCAATGAAAATACACTCAATTTATGCTATATAGTTAAATGTTCTTATAAAGGGAATGACTAATAAAAATCCAGTTAGTCGTGAACATGCATGGATATATAAATTATTTTTCAATACTATATTTTAGCCATGCTAAAATATCAAGGTAAATCATGACTATTTTAATTCGGAAGTGGTTTTCAGCTGAACTCATATTTTTTTTCAAGTTTTCTTTATATAATAGGTACTAATCAGACCCATGCAATGCATCGACTGTACTCAGTAGCTATTTTTTTCATTGATGCTTTTCATTTTGGTGGTAACAATACACAAAATATATTTTGGTGACACATGTAAAATATATAATTATCGAAAAAATGTTTTGACTAGATAGGAAGTTCGTGACATTTGGGTACCAAGATTGCGCTGTGGTAGTGAAAATAAATGAACAATATAACAGAAGTGTATTTGTAGACATGGAGAGAAATCTACGAACTCTCGCGTTATTATTTTCAAAATGAGGCGCTGCACTTTGTGCATCGCTCGCTAGAAATAATTAACATAATGTTGTAGCATACCTACGGACTATACTGGGTATGTCTCCATTCTCATAAATACAGTAGTAAATACTGTATGTTGGTCTTTAGTTCTGTTCTGGTCAAACTCGCTGCCTCCGGGCAGAGAGGATACGCCGGACGAAGCTATATTCTATTCTCGGGAAACAGCTTCCCGACCCATGTTTTATACCGGGTCTACGGGGAATTTTTGGCCTAGCCTACGGGCTCGGATACTCTACATTAAATTCGGCCTTGTGCCACATCTGATTGCGTGGGGCTGTTGGTAGATATTTAGTGATGCTAAAACTGTGAAATCTTGCATGCATTCATTTCAACTCGTCTTATTAATAACTGTATTATTTCCTTAGGCGAGAAGTGCAAGAAATGAAACTGTTGGGTAGAAGTGTCGTTTGCATTTAGCTATTGAAACAAGCGTGGGACCTAGATGCTAATCTAGTAGCACGTTTAAAAGCAAGCATTCGAGGCACCAAGGAAAGAAATTCGTCAGATCAGTTTCCATGAAAAGATTTGTAGAAAAGACAGAGGGCAGTCACGTCACACTGAAAAAAAAAACTGCAAAGAAAAAATTTCTCTTTTTGAACAAAGGTACTGTCGTGAAACTTACGTATTTTTCATTATCTGACCATCAGACGGGGATCAATGTGAAGTATCTGTTGTCCTATCCTTATTGTTAATTGTTAATATTGGCCATTACTTTAAATGTAAACATGCGATATTCATTGGCCAAACAGCCAATATTACTGTTTCATGCTTCAACGCAGTCTTCCGACGAATATATATATGTTTATATATATATATATATATATATATATATATATATATATATATAAATATATATTCTCAGAGTTACCCTGTAGAAAAGACAATATTTATAAATATAAATGATAAAAGGAAAACTGTAATAGTTGTCATTGGACGAAACGCGTTGGCAACTATTACAGTTTTCCCATTGTCATATATATATATATATATATATATATATATATATATATAGATAGATAGATAGATAGATAGTCGGGCCTACATGGTCGATAATATAGGTTTTTTCCAATGGCGCTTAATGGTTGGTAAAAAATGAATTTCAAATGCAGGTTTCAGATCTAACGGGTTTTCCTCACTTGGAAGATTGGCGCAACAGAGTCTTCTCATTTTCACTTGCTTCTTGTGCCGGACTAAACTTAGTATCTATCTATCTATCTATCTATCTATCTATCTCAGTCTGTTCGTATCTATCTATTTCAGTCCCTTCGTATCTACGTATTTCTATTCGTATCTATCTATCTATCTATCTATCTATCTATCTATCTATCTATCTTTGATAATTATTATTATGTACTTTCTTACAGATAATAATACCGATTAGATAGAATGGTGAACTTGTAAATCAGAATAAGGGCAAAACTAAGAACAGGAAAAGGAAGGTAATATGGTTCAACCATCCATATTGCAGACTCTCTAACATTGATATAGGAAGTTTCTTTCTGAAATTAATTGATAAACATTTCCACAGTAAGCATCCACTACGTAAAATTTTCAATAGGAAAACTCTAAAAATTAGTTACTCATGCGTTAGAAATATAGAGAAAATCATATCTTCCCATAATTGCAGAATACTTAGAAACTACCACGGTAATGGAACTCAATCTAGTAACCCTACCTGCAATTGTAGGAATAAAGACCATTGTCCAATCGGGGGTAAATGCAAATCTGAAAATGTAGTATACGAGGGCAACTATCTTTCCCGAGGGAAATATAAACGAGAAAAAAGATACATAGGTATATCCGCCGGTGATTGGAAGCAGCGTCTATACAACCATAGACGCTCATTTAGATATAGATGCCTCAGTAGACAGACTTCCTTATTCAAACACTACTGGGAACTGGTGGATACGGGATTAAACCCAATTTTGAAATGGAGATTCCTATCTAGAGCCAGAACACCTAATAACTTCCGCGATCGGTGTGATCTATGCATGGCGGAAAAAATCTTCATTATCAAAGATAAAAATAGAGATGAGCTGCTGAATCTTCGAATGAGGTATTCTCTAAATGTAGACATAAGAAAGGTTTCAAAACTTGAACACCGTTGTGTAACATGTTGTCACTTATGTCGGCTCCATCTCGGTCCTATAACATCGGGCATGACATTTTAATTGTATGACTATTATGTTTATCTCTAAATGTACCTTTGTGCACGTTTATGTGATGTGCTATGTATTTATATATATATGTTTGTGTATGTGTGTGCATGTATGTATATATATGTATATGTATGTATGTATTTGCATGTATGTGTATGTAGATATGTATATATATGTATATATATATATAAATTTTTTTTTTTTCATACACGCAAATATTTGAATCGTCACTTATTTAGATTTTAACTTTTTTTTATATATGTACATATGTGTATATCTCTGTGTGTATTTATATGTATGTATGTGTATGTGTGTGTGTATATGTGTGTAATTTTGTATGTATATGTATGTATGTGTATATATGTGTGTATGTATGTAAGTGTATATATGTACGTATGTTATGTATGTATATGTATAGGTGTGTATGTGTTCTTATGTGTATACATGTTTATGTGTGTGTGTATGTGTATATATACATGTGTAAGGGTGTGTATGTATTTGCATGTGTATATATATACATATATAAGGGTGTGTATGTATTTGCATGTGTATATATACATATGTAAGGTGTGTATGTATTTGCATGTGTATATGTATGTGTATATGTGTGTGTATGTGTGTGTATATGTGTATGTGTGTGTATATATGTATGTATGTGTGTATATGTATGTGTGTATGTGTATGTGCGTGGATGTATGGGTATATGTGTGTATATATATATATGTATGTATATGTATATATATGTATAGGTATATATATATATATATGTATGTGTGTATGTATGTATATGTATATGTATGTGTATGTGTATGTATAAGTATGTATGTATGAATGTATACATGGGGCATATGTATGCGTGTATATGTATGTGAAAAGTGTGTGTATATGAATATAGATGAATATGTGTATGTGTGGATATGTGAATATATTTTAGGTTTTTTGTATATATATATATATATGTGTTTGTGTGTGTGTATATATATATATATATATATATATATATATATATATATATATATGTATATATATATATATATATATATGTGTGTATGTATGTGCATGTACACGTATGTGTGTGTGTGTGTGTACATGCCTAAGTGTATGTACCTACTTGTATATGTTTTTTTGTGTGTATTAGTATGTGTTTTTGAACATAGAAATATTTGGTCCTTGCGAAATGAGACAATCGTTATATTCATCTTCATATATTTATATTTGATTTAATTTTCCCAATTACAAAGCGGCCCTTTATGTAAACACAATTTTATTTTTCCTTCGTCCCATCCCTCCCCCCCCACCCTTTCCCTTTTTTTTTTTTTTCCCTTCCTATCCGAATTGTCTGTGGTGTGTATATGTCACCACGAAATGTATCTTTATGTATTAGACATCCGTCGACTTTCTTTCTCTCCTCTTTTTAAATCCACCCCACCCACATCTCCAAAAATTCTCTCTGTTAAGGTTTCATGTCACTCATCCTCATACTTACTTTATCTAAATTCTGTTTTGATTTCGAGTTGTTTTTTCTGTTTTCATTTTGAATTTGTAGGTCTGATGATTTGGATCGTATTTACGATTCCAATGGAATAAATTATGACCATGGAATATTAGTGTTTAAGCCTTTTTATTATATATATATATATATATATATATATATATATATGAAGAAATATACTCTAAAGGTGTGCTATATTTATGGGATAAAGTGTTCAATATCAGAGATAGAATGTGTGAAAATATAAAATTGAAAATTGAAGTCAACACTCCAGAGGCGACAGGCTGTTTCATGGTAAACGCAATATTGCGTCTAGCATGAAACAGACTGTCGCTCTAAGTGCACTTCAATGTTCAATCTCATATCTATATATATATATATATATATACTCTATATATTTATATATATATATTAGTTTCAGTGGTTAAATTTTACTTTTGATAATATGTCCAACATTCTCCATTGTAAATATTTGACAACGTACCTTGCATCTGTTTTTTTGCAAACAATCAAGAAAAATTTGTAGTCTTGTTAATACGTAAATAAGTTTTTTTCCTTTTTTCAGGATAGAAGAAAAAAACATTAAACGAAAAAAATATCTTTATTAGAAAAAAAAAATTGATGACAATGACAACTAACCAGGTTAAATTAAGTCCACAACTCTCCAGGTCATTTGTCTCATGGAATTATAAAATAATTAAATGATTGCCATTTATTAGCATTTTACAATCATTTTTTTTTATTAAAACAATGGTTTTATTCGTGACAATCATACTTAATCTACGAAAAATTAAACGGTGTCATTTTATAATAATATTAAGAAAAAAACAATCGGAACCTTGATGATGACATTCCGTAGTGCTACGTCGAAATACTTTTGTAAAGGGAATATAAATCAAAATGACGATTTTCTTTCATCCATTATTTCACAGATTTAAAGCTTATTTGTAAATAGTCAAAGGATCCATTAAACCATTTGGAAACAGAACATTTCTAAATTATTCACAACGAAACATGTTTCATGCCTTGGGTTTTGATAAATTCAGCAATTATAAATGTATTCCTCTGGCTTCAACGATTTATTTTTCAGGGTTAATTAAATATCCATTTCCATTATATCTAATTTTAAATCCAGATCATTAACAGGAAATGCATAGTTTCTAAATTAGCCCAACTGACGTTATATTCAAAATACAGGAATTTTGATCTTGTAAATTCCATCTGATGAATCTTGAAACATATCGAATCTTGAAACATATGATATCCAATCCAGTTGAATTATCCGTGGAAACACTGAGAACATTGAAAATCTTAATTTTATCCAAAAATTCACGGATAAAATATTCGTAAATAAAGTCTGTAATAAAATTGAATGTGAATTCACTGAAATATTTTTAGGCAACTCACTAATTTCTCCAAAACGGCAATTAAATTTTCACATTAGAATAAAAGGTTCTATTGATGAATAAAGTTGGGTTTATAGCTGTGAAATGATGGATTTCCAAAAGTAACATACAGGACCTTATGAAAAAAACCTTTCAAAAATTTTATTATCAAAACGGAATTATACAATTTCTTATCTTGAGGGGTTTTCTTATTAATATAACATGCCTTAAAACCCGTATTTTCGTTCATTTTCTATATCAAAATTCACGAAAAAATTTTCCTCATAAAAAAAAACAAATTTTTATTCAAAACCTTTCTTTATTAATTAATTAATTAAACAATAATTATCATCACTGATATTTTAATATAAATAAACGTATTTATAATTTTAGATGTTATCTATTTACTACTACTTTAAAAAAATCTCTAAATTTTAAATATTTCTCCCTTAACTAGATGTTAATCATTTTCAATATAAGCTAATTTTTCTTTAACTATTTCGACTTGACTTTTGGCCAGACATTACTATCATGATTTTGGGATTTCTCTTAGATTACTTGTTATTATAACTTTTTTTAATTTTTTCTCCCTTTTTTTTGCGCAGTTTCAACATTCTGGCTTTCGATATTATGGGATGTTCAATATTCTTGTTTTATTCCATCCGTTCAAAAATACATTATTGTATTCATTCCCTGATATATTTAAGAACTTTTGGCTATTAGTTATCGAAACTTGAATAGATACGTAATTTAATTGAGATCAGCCTTGATGTTTTTGAAATTAATTTGTTTTTAATATTTTAAATAACATTGACCGAGTTATTTGTCGGATGAGCACGAATATTTTAGTCCCATTCCGATTCACTTGGATATATATATATATATATAGTTTCAGTATATTAAATATATATATGAATAATATGTCCAACATTTCGAAATATTTATAACATACCTATCTGTATTCGCAATTCAGAAAATTCTGTCATAAATAATTGTCCTTTTCAGGAGGCGAATAAAATTTAAACTAAAAATATCCCATAAAAAACTGAAACCAAACCTTAATAAAATTAATTACGAATACTCCATCAATATTTTAAAATGTGTACAATAGATAATTCAAAATGCCATAATAGCTTTTTTACTACTTATTTCATAAAAAAACAATTTCCACAACCATACTTAATTACCTTCCCTTAAACGGTGTCAGCGATCAAAATAATTTGTCTTGCAATAAACAATACATTGATGATGACATTGTGCTATGTCGAAAGTACTCGGAATAAAGGAAATATGTATCAAAATGACGATTTTCTTTCATTCTTCAATAACGACACCAAAAAGCTTATTTGTAAATATGAAAGGATCCAATTGAAAATAAGTAAACAGAACATTTCTAAATTATACAACGAAACATGTTTCATGTTTGGGTTAGAGTGGATAAATCAAACAGCAATTATAAATGTAACCCCTGTCTTCAGAAGAGAAGATTAGATTAATTAAAATCAATAATCAAAGTATAATACTAAACCAAAGGAATGAGATAGTTTCCAAATGGCGTCACTGAAGTAGATTCAAACTGATCTAGAATATTATTGATCTTGTTTAATTTCTTATCACCTAACACATATATCGTTATTTCTACTCCATTCCAATCCTATCGAATAACTGTTGTAGCATACCCACGGATGATATTGCGTATGTCCACATTCACGGTCGTAAATACTGTATGTTGGTCTGTAGTTGAGATTCATTGTGGAATTCACTTGATTCATTTCTAGCAGTTCACTATTTCTTCTACGCATCGCTGGCGAATCTTATATGTGTTGTTCTTGTCCTAAGTATTATCGTTCATTACCAACCTTTGTGTGATTTTTCCATTCAGTAACCTTCCGTAGGTTACAACAATAACCTTTCTGAAATTTTATTATCAAAATTTTATTATCAATTGTCTTATCTTCAGTATATTTTTTCACTATTATGATTTTTCCTTAATTTTTTCTTTCATTTTTCACTATCAATTCCTTTTCTTATTTATTTTTCATCTTGCTCTTTTAATTTTTATTAGTATATTTTTATTATTAGTATTTTATTAGTATTATTATTATTATTATGAGTATTTTATTAGTAGTAGTATTATTTTTAATTTTAGATGTTACCTTTTTACTTACTCTTTTTAAAAAAAATCTTAAATTTTTAAATATTTTCCCTTAAGTAGATGTTAATATTTTAATATAAGTGAAGTTTATTTTAACTTTCTTCTTGACTTAGGCCAGACACTCTACTATCATGATTTTGGGATTTCCTTTAGATACTCTACTGCAACTCCTTTTTAATTTTTATCCTTTTTCTGCATTTATGTTTTTTGGTCGTTCTATCTTTGCAAATATTCTTGTTTTATTCTTTGAATCAGTAAATATTTTATTTCTTCATATCTCTGATTAGACAAGACCTTCATGTAAATCTTATTGGTCGAAATAACTATTCGAATGAGGTAACATTGGATTTTTTTTCTATGTAATTTGTTCTGTTATAATAAATACACTGAGCTCTTTTTGTGGATGAGTTTTAATATTTTAAATGATTAGGATTCACTTGGATATTTTTCCCAACATATTATTACCTGTATATATATATATATATATATATATATATATATATATATATATATAATGTAATCAAAAAAATTGTCCAAAAATGTCATAGAAAATTGTCCTTTTGTTTTTCGTATTTTTTCCAATTATATCCCACCCAATGATTAAATATATATTACTGGAATTCTCCAAGGTTTTATGAAATTATTGGACACAGCTTTAAACAATAAGAATGTATGTAGATGTAATTTGAGAGTTTCCATGCCTCACTCTGCATGAACTCGGTTCCAGTTTTATGGTCTACCGTTCGGTTTTGCGCTTCTGTTATCTTCATGGTCTTTGAATGGACTTTGAAAATAACGTCCAGAGCATGAAATTTGTAAGACACCATAATCGACAGGCCTGAGAAAGACAGTGTCTGTGTAAACACAAAAAATTTTTTTTTCAAGGAAACAATTCATAGATTTTTCAAGATTCTTGCATAAATGATTTCAACATACACCTCTGAAAGTCTTTCTGAAATTAATGGAAAAAAGAAAATGACCTATTGTTTGAGAGTTTTTTTATTATATTGTCACTCATTTGGGGCTGGAAAATTAACCGTATGGTGTTAAGAAAATTTTGACAACTAAAGCAGTTGTTTCAGTTTGCACAAGATGGTAAAATGTAGTTTGTACTCTTGAAGGCAAATGCTACACGTTGATCTCAATCCGACGGCCAAGGTGTGAAGAAATGTCGAATAACACTGGCTGTTCGATTCATATCATATGTAACACTGTTCGGTCAATGAATGTCACGTGTTTCTTTATAAGGAAACAGTTAATATTACCTGTAAACTTACAGTGGTGATGATGTTGAGTTTCTGGAATTATGCATCTTTCAGACTTCTTTGAAAATAATATAAAACAAATAAATGTTTTCTTGTCTGGAGATTTTGAATGAATAGCATATATTTTGCTGATAACTTGGTTATTGTTTACGGCACAACGAATCTTAAAAATGCTGAAGATAAAGTTAAATAATTGAATACGTCTTAAGAAATAAAAAAAAAACATTTAAAATGATAATATCATCTCAAAACTAAAGGAGCTAAGCTTAAGCAAAAATGGTTGCCATCTCAAGCCAAAACAACTGTTGTAAAGATTAACATTTGTTTCCTGTGACAGAAGATATGAATTAGATCGATAATCTGAAAGAATAACTGGAATAATAATGACACAATTCTGGAATTATAGAACGTATAGTACATATATAAATGAAGAGAAAATCCTGAGAAAAGATTGAAAAGAGAATGACTCTTCTCAAAATTACAGAATGTAACTTAAGCAAAAAGCTGCGAATCAATATTCCGATCAGCTATTTGAATGATATATCTTATCAAAATTACACAATGTTTATTAAACAAAAATGTTGGGATCAATAGTCCGATCAAGTCATTGAATAAGAATATCTCTTCTCAAAATTAAAAAAAAAAACGACTGAAACAAAATATTTATGTCAATAGACTGATCAAGGCTGACAATGATAGTATCACTTCTCAACATTATAGGATGCCTCTTAAACAGAAGAATGGTATCTGTAGCCCGATCAACTATTTGAATGATATCTCTTCGAAAATTACAGAATTCTTCTTAAGAAAAAAGATCTGGATCAAATGCCCCATCAACTTTTTGAAGGATATTTCTTATCAAAATTACAGAATGTCTCTCAAAAAAAAAAAAAAAAAAAAAAAAAAGGAAAAAAAGAAAAAGATTGTGTTCAATAGTCCGATAAACTCATTGAAAGATAGTATTTCTCCTCAAAATTACCGAATGCCTCTAACACAAAAAGATTGGAATCACTAGTCCGACCAACTCTTCAAATTGATATCTCTCTTCCCAAATTTACAGAATGCCCGTTAAACAAAAATATCCAGTTCAATAATAGACCGATTCATTGAATGAAAGTATCTACAACCAAAACTGCAAAATACCCCTTAAAAAAATATTCAGTTCAACAGACCGATTAACACTTACAATGATTGTATCTCTTCTAAAATTTACAGAATATCTCTTAATAAGAAAGAGTGGAATCAATAGTTCCATCAATTATTTGAATGATAAAATCTCTTTCCAAAATTACAGGATGCCTCTTAAGCACAAAGACTCGGTTCAATACTCGGATCAACGAGTATTTCTTATCAAAATGATAGCATGCCTCTTAAACAAAAATATTATGGTCAACTGTGCGATCAAATCTTGGAATGATAGTAAGGCTTCTAAAACAACAAGTTTGGGATCAATAGTCCAATCAACTATTTGAATAATAATACATATTCCTAAAATTACAGATTGCCTCTCAAACAAATACATTCTGATCAATAGTCCGATCAACTAATTGAATGATAGTGACTCAAAATTTCAAAATGCCCCTTTGAGGTCAATAGTCCAGTGATTGTATCTCTTCTCAAATTTATAGAATGTCTCTGAAACAGGAAATTGAAATCAGTAGTCTGATCAATTCTTTGAATGAAAATATCTCTTCTCATAATTACAGAATGTCTCTGAAACAGAAGACTGAGAAGAGTAGTCCGATCAACCATTTTAATGATAATATGTATTCTCAAAATTACAGAATTCCTCATAAAGAAAAAAGATTGTGATCAACAGCCCGATCAACTCACTGAATGATAGTATCTCTTCCAAATTACAAAATGCACCTTAAACAAAAATATTGAGGTCAATAGTCCGATCAATTCTTGGAATGATAATATTTATTCTCAGAATTAGGAAAAGTGAGTAGAAGACTGATTACTTTGTATCACTTTTGGAGGCAGCATATATTCATTGCGTTGGTTGAGAAATATGTTCTATAAATATTTACATTAAATACTGTAGATATTTCTATGTATGTATGTATGCCTGATAGTAAATCGTGGCAAAAAAGTAAATATGCAGCAAATGCAATAATATTTTTTATGTCAATAGTGCCTTCCTTGCCCAATCAGCTCCATTTTTATTTTTCCGCCGATAGACAGGGAGAAATTAAATAAAATTTTCTTATCGCAATAGCAGCTCAAATAACAAGAAAAGGTGATAAAATAATGAAACATTCGCAACCAAGAAGAAAACGGTGATTCCAACAATGCTTCTTGAGAGAGAACAAACATTTCAATACCTCTCGTATTCCACGATGCCAAACAAGAAGAGCCAAATATTACTTCCTCTACTACTATTAAAAATAGTAGCACTACTACAACTACTACTTTTACTACTACTACTAATTATAATAATAATTATTATTGTCTTGTCTATTCATATCTATCTATCTATCTATCTATCTATGTTCATATATATATATTTAGTTTTGGCGTAGACGTTAGAATTATAGAGATGAAGTAAAATTTAGAAAGAACTAAAAAAACAATCCTAAACGGGGAACAAGGGATATATCTCCATTTCTGTTTGAACTGGACAATAACTGGTCATCTATCTCAGTCTGGACATATCTATCTATCTATCTATCTATCTATCTATCTATCTATCTATCTATCTCTACTTGTAGCTTCATATCTATCTATCTATCTTATTCTTTTTTATGTATGTATGTATGTATGTATGTATGTATCTATCTATCTCTACTTGTAGCTTCATATCTATCTATCTATCTATCTATCTATCTATCTATCTTATTCTTTTTTATCTATCTATCTATCTATCTATCTATCTATCTATCTCTACTTGTAGCTTCATATCTATCTATCTATCTTATTCTTTTTTTATCTATCTATCTATCTATCTATCTATCTATCTATCTATCTTATTCTTTTTTATGTATGTATGTATCTATCTATCTATCTTTCTATCTCTACTTGTAGCTTCATATCTATCTATCTATCTATCTATCTATCTATCTATCTATCTATCTATCTATCTATCTTCACTAGTAGGTTCATTATCTATCTATCTATCTATCTATCTATCTATCTATCTATCTATCTATCTGTGGGTTGCTGATATTTTCGTCCATTTCAGTGTAATCTATCTTTTAATTTAATCTCCATGACATAAGGTGAGAATTTTCAAAATAATTCTCTTTCCTCCTCCCGTTTGAAATTCCATCAACACATGCAAATAAACCCAAAGAAATTTTTATTGTCCGTCACTTTCCGCATCGAAACTGAAATTTTCTTCCCACAATTCACATTATATAAGACCTAAGCGCCAGTCAAGGCAGAGGGTTAGTGAAGGAGGTTGTTGTTCGAGCGGTAAAAGTCGCTGTTTACGAAGATATGGAGGAAAGATAACGATTGAACGTAGGCAGAAACATTCTAAGTTTGACGTGGTCTGGAAAGAGCCCTCTTCGGAGTTAGCTGCACAAAGTAGTGATTCGTTGTAAGAAACTGTTCGAGTGTAGCTTACTTCTCGCTAATGGATTGCGAAGGGAATGAAGACGGTTCGCTTCAATGTACGCAACGTGACGGATCTTAGCTGTGAGGGTTAGCGTTGGTGGAACTAATAAATATAGTTCTTTTGAATACTTTCCATTGAAATAGCTATAGAGTAGCAGGAGCCGTGGAACGTTTCCTCTCTGAGAATGGGGTAATAGGGTGGGGAATAATTCCTCACCTGCAAAAGCTGCGTAGAGAGTAAAGACTGTGTAGCTCAAGTTTTGAGACCATTAAACAACCATGGAAAAATTTCAAAACATCCTACTGACAAACTGGATCCATCAATTTCTGCAGGTTCCTTCTTTCGCAAACTCAACCGTCTATCCGAAAGATAGATAACATTGTTTCACCTGAGCTGGTGCCAAATGTCCAATCTTCCATAATCCAGTGGCAATATTTCTCTCCAAGAGAACTTCGATTGATGCTTTGTATCGTAGTCATTTGTCCCTACCTAATATTCCTAGTCTGCATTGAGTCGATGTCAGTGGAATCCAGCTTTGAAAAGATTATGTGCAGAGAAATAAACGAGATGTCTATAGGCAGTCCACTCGGCCCGACGATGGTAAATATATTAGTTAATTTTTACGAACAAGTTTTATTTGCACATATTAAAATGTTTTTATTAAATTTTTATCTTAGATATGCCGAGCCTCGTTCTGTGTGTTTGATAGTGAGGTTGGCGCTGGCAAATTTCATCAAACGCTAAGTTGTTTACAGTCAGCTTTACAGTTTACGCGGGAAAAGGAGCCAAATTATTTAATTTTGGATGTTTTTCTAGACAGCTGTTTCTTTCAGCTATATACCGAAAACCAACCGTCACATATTTATATACTAATTGGGATTCTTTGAAAGATAGTGAAAAAACGTTGGACCATTTTTCCCAAATAATTAGTTAAAAGAAAAGATTAAATTCTGAGTCTGAATACAATAGAAAAGGTTTAGATCAAAATGAATACAAGGATTGCTCAATATATTCCTGCTAATATTTGTAAAGGTAATTTGGACAGTTTGAGTATGTATATTAAATAGTCGGCGAAATCAGGACATTTATTAAACAATTATCAGTCTAGCAGTTCCTATAAAAGAAGTCATGCTCTCCCAACTGAACAAGGTTCACTCTGATTTTCAGCATAAGGTTTTAGATTCAATTCATATTAGTCCTCCAACATTGAGTTCAGATTTCCTGTAAAACTTGCACATTACACTTATGGTCAGTCTCTTATTGGCCCAGAAACCATCTTTAAGATCATTGTTCAGCCCTAAAAAGATTATACAGAATTTGTTGCCATATAATATCCATATTATGTGTATTCAAAAAAATATTATATATATATATATATATATATATATATATATATATATATATGTGAAAAGTGTATATAAATATAAATAAATATATATATGTATAATTATTTATATATTATATGTGCGGTACTTATTAGAAAGCACTCAATATCAGAGATAGAGCTAACATATTTGGTTGGATAGATGTCAGTTTGTGATCCTGGGTTTCACGCTTTCGATCGTCAGACAAACTCTGACGATCGCTAAAGCGTGAAACCCAGGGTCACAAACTCACATCTATCCAACCAAATATATATATATATATATATATATATATATATATATACAGCAAGAGCCCGGCGTTGCCCGCAGATGTAACAGTAAGAGATAGATCAAGTATCGACCATCATAAAGACTGAAAAAAATAAAATTGACAAAGATTATTGTTTAAGGTTGACGGACACGCATGTCTTAATTAGTTTTTTTTTTTTATGAATTGGTCAAACGCAAACAAAAGCATTGTTTTCAATCGTTATGATTTTACTGATTGAATAGAATTTTATTATAAACAATTGTCTTGTAAATGGAATTTTTAAAGCATTCTGAATGTAAAAATAAAGAAAAAAGTGTGCAAGACAATAAGAAACACTACCTGCCAAAAAAAAAAAGAAGTGAAGTTTTGTTGAAATCGGTTGAAAAATGTAGGAAATCCGATCCCATATATAAATGAACACTGACACACACTCACAAACAACCTGGGTTTTATAATAAGTGTAACTCGATATGAGTTGTCTCCCTTTCATTCTCGACAGCGATGGCTCTTAATCGTGTTTTTAAATTGATTTCGTGCCAAAAAAATTGTGCTTTTCCAATTTTGGGCGCTGTCAGAACCACCGCAATGTAATTTGACGTAGTCCTGTGAAGTTTTGTTGAAATCGGTTGAAAATGTAGGAAATCCGATTCAATATATAAACAAAACACACACACACACACACACCTGGGTTTTATAATAAGGGTTTTATATATATATATATATATATATATATATATATATTGTAGTTACCACTCTACAAAATATTTGTTTCGATGCCTAATTCAGGCATCTCATCGGGTGGTGATCAAAGTTAGTTATAAACTATTAAAAATTTCTATCTGTTAGGGTCCGGTTCCTTGTACCAAAGTGATAGTCCAATGTAGAACCAATAAAGAAGAACTAGAACACGGTTATGGAATAACACAGATATATTACAAACAGGAATATATACAGAGAGGTAGAAAAGTGTTAATACGAACAATCAGGTTTAGTAATAATTGTCTGAACACGACTCTGTTTCGGACTGCCTCTGACTCGACTGACTGACTCGCTCTGACGGACTGACAAACTCCTGACGGACTTCACTCCAGACTTTAGACTGAACTCCAGACTTCAGGCTGAACAGTATTTAGTCACCCACCCCACGAGGACATCACGTGCTATAAGGCCGGTTTAACGTGGGATCTCCGAGCCCGTGGGCTCGGCCAAAAATATGCCCTTTGAACCCGTATAAACGGGTTCAGTGTCGGTTTACAACGCTGGACTTCGGACTGAACTCTCTGCTTCCTCATGAGGCGCAGTATTTATTACGTATGGAATAGTCCATTATGTTATTATGGGAAAGGTCCCATAACATTATCTAAAAAAAAAAATCTATTTAGTTGCCATCATTTCCGGATAAATTTTGAATTTTTCTCTATTGCATCTCAATCAACCTTTACATTTTTTTTTATTTGGTAAATCATTCTCAACAACTTCCCTTATTTTCCTTTCTTTCCTTTTCTTTTCTTTTTCTTTAAATTGTAATTTTATATATATATATATATATATATTACTTCTCTTCTTCTTTCCTTTTCTTTTCCTTTTCTTCGGAGAGGGGATGATTTCTTATGTCTTTCTTTTCCTACCTCTTTCTATTTCTCTTTATTCTTTCTTTTTCCTTTTATTGATTTCTTGTCCTCTTCTTTTTTTCTGCTTTAACTTGTGAATTCCTTTCTTTATCTTTTATGGAAATTTTTCATATACCTTTCTAATTTTTTTTCAAAATATAAAAAGAAGTGATTTTCATAAGTAGCATTTAAAAAAAACTCGTTTATAACTATCTTTGATCATCTCCTGATGAGATGCCTGAATTGGACATCGAAACAAATATGCATTTTTGTAGTGGTAACTTGTATGATGGAATGTAATAACTTATAATATATAAATCATTTTAAATAATCTTGAAAAAAATACGTACACTCGCTATGTATCAAGGGGGATAACTTTCTTTTTTCACAAAAAACGTGTTTATAATATATTATTAACATAATATCTTATGGAATAAACTAATTATAGAATAAGACGATATATCTATTTCATTTAGAAACTAGTCTTTTACTTACAAAGTTGAAATTATATTTACACACGTCATAAATTAATCGAATACGATCTATGATATGGAATTATTATATGTGTATAGATATATAAAAATGTTTTTAATGATGGCTTTTATGAATATTAATAGCTGATACATATTTATAAAATCTATTTTGAAATGTATTTTAATAGGCGGCAGCGGGCTTGGGCAGGTGTTAGTTTTTTTTATAGATTTAGTTATCAACTCTCGTCTCCGGTTCAGCAAGTTCGGGTAATTTAAGTGTTTTATATTATAAGCTTCTCCAACAAACATAAGTTACATCTGTCTCCTTTTCCATTGTAGGGTCTGCTTTCGCGCTTATCTCCCAGCTAAAGGATAGGTTCTCATAGTTGTTTTTTAATCTCCAAAAATACTTTGAGAGTGTTTTACGGTTTTTGTATTTAATATTGTTCAGTTACATTTGCTGATGGTTAAAACGTAATTTCTAGTTGCTATCTGCAGGGCTTAGGGAACCAAAGTAAGATGTAACATCATCGTCTCAATTGATTCTAGCTTTATAAATAATGCTTTCAATCATGCACTTGTCATTTAATGGGTAGGTTATGCTTTTACGGCAGTTGCATTTATTTTAGTAGAATTATTATTTAGTGCTTTTTTGTGTGCTTGCTTAATACATTAGTGTTATGTTGGGATATATAATTATCTATGTTTTTGTATAGCTATAGCTTACCTTAATATTATTATTGTTGAAAATATTTTTTTAGCGTTGGAGAATGACCAAAGTGTTTATAAATTACACGCTAAGTCGATCATGTCACTTTCGATTCATGACTGTCTAAGTATATTTCCCACAGTAGGCTTCTGTTTTTCTCAGCAGTAGACTTAAATTAAACCAAGTTTGAATAGCAGGACCCGATCAGTCCTGCTAT